CCTCAGAACTTCTACAAAACTTGATTGGAGTTGGACATGGTTGGCTAGGAGCTGGAAGCACAGTCATTGTAACAACCAGGGATAAGCATGTGTTGGAAAGTGGAGGAATTGACAAAATTCATCAGGTTAAGCAGATGAACTCCCAAAACTCCCTCCAGCTTTTCAGCTTGAATGCTTTTGGCAAAGTTTTGCCTAAGGAGGGATACATGGATCTCTCTGAAAGAGCAATTGATTACTCCAAAGGCAACCCTTTAGCTCTGGAAGTTTTGGGATCATTTCTTTGTAACAAAAGTGAAATAGAATGGAACTGTGCGCTAGCTAAACTCAAAGAAATTCCAAACACGGAAATTGATATGATATTGAGATGGAGTTATAATGAATTGGATGATAAAGAGAAAAACATATTTTTGGACATTGCAATGTTTTTCAAAGGATATAAAAGGGATAGCATAATAAAAATATTAAACGAGTGTGGTTTCTACGCAGAAATAGGGATAACACATCTTTTAGACAAGGCTCTTATAAGAGTTGACTTACGAAATTGCATACAAATGCATGACTTGATACAAGAAATGGGCAAACAAGTTGTTCGTGAAGAATCGCCTAAGAATCCGGGACAACGCAGTAGATTGTGTGATCCTAAGGAAGTTTGTGATGTATTGAAAAATGATACAGTAAGAAAATGATACTCTGACTTCTCTTCATACACACATGTTTTTTATACAAAAACTACTAAATACTAACATTATATTTATTTTGTTTCTTGAGGGAACTGAGATGGTTGAAGCTATATTTTTAGATGCTACTGAATGTACACACCTGAATTTAAGCCCCAGAGCATTTGAGAAGATGCCAAACCTAAGGTTACTTGCTTTTCGAGATCAAAAGGAAATTAAGTCTATAAGATTTTCTAATGGCCTTGACTTATTGCCAGAAAACTTGAGATATTTGTTATGGGATGGCTATCCTTGTAAATCTCTGCCACCAACCTATTTTCCTGAAAGGCTTGTGGAGTTTTCCCTGCGAGACAGCGATGTGGAAAAACTTTGGAATGGAGTACTGGTATGTCCTGTCTATGTGTTTAAGTGTTTTTGTGTTTTTGAATGGAATAGGAAACCAAAAACTGATATCTTTATAAAATAAGAAAATATACTAACTTATTTAACCAACTGTATATTGTTTCAGAAGCTACCAAATTTAGAGATACTTGATCTCAGCAACTCCAAAAGGCTGATAGAGTGTCCAAATGTGTCTGGTTTCCCAAACCTAAAACGTCTAACAATGAATGGTTGTGAAAGCTTGCCTGAAGTTGATTCATCAATTTTCCATCTCCAAAAGCTTGAAAGATTATTCATGAGAGATTGCATGTCAGTTAAGACTCTTTCGAGTAACACTTGTTCACCGGCCCTCATTGAATTTGATGCCTTGGATTGCGTCAATCTGCAAGAATTCTCACTCCCATTCGCTGCCGTTGATCATTTGGATTTGACCTTACCAAGATTTGGCACGAATGGGCTTCCATCGTCAATATTACATTTCAAAAATCTTGTAGGTTTATCTATCCTATCAGTGATAGTCTTGTGAATCTTCCTGAAAACTTTGCCATTTCTATTTGGCTTGTGTTCAAGAATATACCAAAAGGTGAACCTGACACTTCCACCACTTTACGGAGAGTACTTTCTAGCCCTGCCTTCATGAGTGTAAAAGAGTTAATCATTGACGGTAACGATGTGTTGTCTGAAACCACAGACAACATCTCCTTTCAATCATCATTAGAGCATATTGACCGGAATGATGTGTTGTTTGAAATCCCAGACAATATTTCCTTACTATCATCATTAGACCGTTTATCACTTATTGGTATTGCAATTAGAAGCTTGCCTGAAACCATTAAGTATCTTCCCCAACTCACATATCTTGAAATTATTGATTGTCACATGCTTCAATCTATACCTGCACTTTCACAGTTTGTTCCATATTTCTTTGTCTGGAATTGTGGATCTCTTGAAAAAGTATTGAGTTCAACGAATGAACCATGTCGCAAACACAACCATGGTTTTATGTTCCTTAACTGCACAAAGTTGGATTCACATTCATATCAAACAATTCTGAACAACGCAATTGCTGGGATTGAACTTCGAGCAAGACAAAGTTTAGAAAATGAATGTCCATGTTTTGGTGATCATATTATTGAGTACTTCTTACTTGCTATGTCGGGCATGGAAAATTGGTCCCGTTACCCTTCTTCACAAGCTTCTGTCACTCTTGAGCTTCCTCCGAATTTGTTGGGTTTTGCGTACTACTTGGTTCTTTCTCAAGGCCATGTGGGAGATGGTGTAGATTTTGGATGTGAGTGTAGCTTGGACAACAGTTCCGGTGAAAGGATCTATATAACAAGTTTCAAAAGAGCCATTTTCTCCAGTATTTGCTTTTATTCTGACGATCCTTTAATGCACTTGATGTCGGATAATTTGATTTTATGGTATGATCCAGCGAAGTGCAAGCAGATAATGAAAGCCATTAATGATGTGAACAACACCAGTTACAATCCAAAGCTTACATTTACATTCTTCATTGATGAAAGCCGATATAATGAAGTAAAGATTGTAGAGTGTGGTTTTCACTGGATATACCCCTTTGAAGGGAGTGCAGTTCCAAATAGAAATGATGATCGAGAAGATACAGTTCCTCCAACAAACAATTTAGAGCAATGTGTCGTTGGAAGTCTTTCCGGCATAGAAGTAGATGAAAGTGAAGACTTGAGGTACATAATCTTCCTTGCACTGATTGTACTGATGTAAGCTTAGACACTCTTGCAATTTGTGTTACTGTAATAACTCTGTTTATGAACAGCTATTCGCTTGAACGACTCTTGGATTCTATGGAAAGCAGCTGGAGTGGAGTGAAGAAAATTTCAAGTGATTTAAAGAGGCACGACAAATAGCTAGAGACACAGACATTTGGTGTTGGTACACATTAATTGCTTGTAATCTTGTATTACTTGTACTATGAAAATCTTGTTTGTTTTTTTATGAATAAATTGTGTTTGCCAGGATTTTCATTCTAAAATATTCAAATATTTAATTATTAAGAATGTATAGAATGGAATAAATGAAAATTTCCTTAGAAAACATAGAAAAAAATAAAAATTTAAAAGTAATTAAAATCACATTAAAAGTAAAGTGTTCAATTTATTTAGATGATGATTTGCAAGTTGTAAGTGTTAATACTTGATTTGAATGAATTAGTGTTCCAAAAGAATACTCTCTATATCAATTAGTGTTCCAAAATAAAGGTAATGGCGGGAAGGATATTGATCATGGCATTGACAAAGTTGCTTCTATGTAAAATAGCTAATTGATATTAATTGTTTCAATATGCATATATAGTACCTTTTTGACACTATCATTATACATAACATAAAAGCACCTGTAATGGTCTTATAGCTAATTATACATGAGAGACTTGTTTTCTGTTCAAGAAAGGGTGGATACTACGCTGCAGATACAAAAGTAAGTTTGACACTTCTATCCATTTCTTGTTTGGCTTAGGATCATAATAAAATCAGTTTTTTAACTTTAACTTTTACTCCTAATGAATGATCAACTATAGCTTTTTGATCTTACTACTTTCATGCCAAGAAAGTACTTGAATGATCCAAGTTTTTTATTTTTTTCTAAGATTTGATTCTCCTTAATTGTATATATTTTCTATTTCTAAAATAGACTAGAAAATTAAATAGATAGTATTTGTAATTAATTGTTGTAAATGCTTACTAGCAAAATTTATGTGATAAAATATAAAATATATTTAGATGTACATGTAAATTTGAAATGATTTAATTAATTGTAAATTGAATAATAATCATCTAAACTCAATTATATGAAATAGATATTGTGTTGATAGTGAGTCGTAAAATGAAAAATTATTTGTTTATATGGTTGTTGAGTATTATTTAATTTGATGCTGTATAAAATGTATATAGATACACGTGCAAATTTGAAATAATTTATTTAATTGTATAATGAACAATGATCATATTAGCTCAATTGATATTGATTAAAAATAAAATATGTATTGTACTGATACTGGTTTGTGAGATAGAAAGTTGGTTGTTTGCATCACTATTGAATATTATCTAATTTGATACGTTGTAAAATATATTTAGATATACTTGTGAATTTGAATGAGTTACTTTATTGTAAAATGAACATTGATGTGCATAATGTTTGATGATTACTTGAGTGATGTACTAGATATTGCTTGATGATTACTTGAGTCTCGGAAGGATGAAATTAAATTTGGTGAAGTCTGAGAAATTTGATAATATATTCTTTTGTATATAGTTTAATAGAAGTAAAATAAATTGCATTCGTTTGATGTGTTTGCTTGATTATTATCTATAAAAAAACATAAACTTTTATGATTAGGATTTAGGCGTGATGCGGTGTCCCCGACACATGTTAGACACTTATATAATACTCGTACGATACGTGGTATAAAAGTCAAACAGAAAAATCAGACGGGCATCCTCATAAAAATATATTTTTTTATTCAAGACTCCTTAAATTGGTGTCCAATATTTGTACGACACTCATACAACAATTCTCAGACAATTCAAACAAGTATTTCATTAAAAAAAAATTGATTTTCCCTTACTTTAACACACTTTATACATTTATTGAACAAATTTCACACATCTAAAACACATATTATTTTATTGAACAAATTTCACACATCTAAAACACATATTATACATGTATTGAAACATACAACTTTACCGACGACCTTAATTTTGATTATAATATTTTTAACATTTGAAGTAATAGATGGATAAATAAAACTCAAATGATATTATATATGTAGCGATGTCGGGGCTATATATTTTTGCATTCAGCCATAGGGTCCGTGTCGTGTCTCGGTGTCAATGTCGGAGTTTGTGCTCCGTAATTGTTTATTGACGTGGCTTTTCCTTTTAGTGATCAGCTCAATGTTTCATTTTAAACTGCAACTACAGTGGAAGCCAACTGAATCCGTTTCCTATATTCAGCTAGAGCCCATGTTGGAAAAATATCCCTATATAATGCAAAATGCAGCATACAATTTTTCATGAATACTGATGTGATTTCCTGCCATGACATAAATAAAAACATAATTAGCAATTTATTAGCTTAAAATCACAAAATTCATGCTATTAAAATATATCTTTTTAGTCAATAAATCATTTAGTGGGAAACTTCAAGTGATTAGCTTGGGAGTAAGTTTTATAAATTTAGGGAGCACAGAAACTTCAATTTGTAAAGACCTCACAAATTGAGTTTTAGGATGAACAATTCACAGATCTATTGAAACTTGAAAATTGCTTATTAACATAGTTTTAATATAGATTTATTTTGAATTGAGATTTAATGTACTCTTATTAGTCTATCAATATAATTTTTGTAACAGAATGCATGTTCCTTGTATATTAATCTTTATTGTATCGTACTTTTCAAATTCTCACTCGCTTCATCACACTAATTAAACACAACTTTTGATAAATATACCAGAGACATAATATCGAAATCAAAAATTGAGATGAACCTGTTGGGGCCAATCACCCTCTTCTTGTTGGAAATTGATGATCAACTTTACAGCACGATTAAGAGGCGTAGGGTCTCTCTCCATCTACACATATATAAAAAATAGTCATATTTTGATATTCATTAGTAGTTAGAGTAGTAACTAAGCATTTTGAATGTTAATTTACAATAAAAAGTGAATATACCTGACCAGCTTGAATTAAACCCATAATAGCCCATGATGTCTGCACAATATTTGATTGGCTTCCTTCAAGAGGTACATATATCTGCATTATTTTCACTCAAATGATTAAGATCCCAAATATCTACCACTTGTCCCAAATTTGTAAAATATTTTCTAAATATTATTAGTTTGGTTCATTGAGAATCCATGCAATACCTTTGCGTTAATTAGTAGGTTATATAATTCAACGACGAACCTTTTTTGGGTTTGAAAGATGGCTCTCCCCCCACCCACCATCTTCTCTTTGTGTTGTAAGCAAAAATTCAACAGCTTTGCGAATGGCTGCACAATTGTTATAAGTCTTGCCAGCAGCCGCTAGACCACTAATTGCAAACCAAGAACCATAAGTGAAGCAAATTCCCCAATTTCCATACCATGAACCATCACTTGTTTGTTTATATTCGATAAATCGAACTGCATTTGCAATGAAATTTTCAACCTCTTTCTTTCTGTGTCCTGGATATAGTTTTTTAAACAAAACTAAAGCTTGAATTCCTGATGAAGTGCATTCAACATATTCACGCTCAACTACAATTTCCTCAAGAAATTCTATTGGATTGAATAGCTGAAAATTAATGACAAATATAATTAATAACTTAGTATATGTATACACTATAGAGAACAGTTAATGTAAGAGGTTTAACAAATATTCTAATTGTTTGTTTATTGATTGATATCATAATACTTACTTCCAACCATTCTACAGCTTCTGATGGCTCCCAAGCTGGTAAACCACCTTTTTTACCCTGTAACAACAATGCATCAAAAGTAAATCATGTTTCATAATAATATTGAACATTAATAATCAATGTGCTCTAAGGGAAACCTCTGACTTTTGGTTGATTTAAGAAAAACAAAATGATGAAATATCATTTTTAAAATAAATACATAAATTTTGTTGTCTATAAAACCAATTTAAAAAGTCTTTTCTACATCGGTAGTACACATAGTCGACGTAGAATGTGGAGATAATGAATAAACTAGACGTTTGAACCAACTTATAGTCAGAGTCTTTATTCTAATTGGTTGTCTACCAACTGATATAGAAACTATACTTAACAACACTTTGAGTCTAACTGATTTTTACAAAATTGTAGATCAAATGAAAAAACAAAATTCTCGTTACCACAAGTCATTCTAATACTAAAGTTTCAAAACCTCTTTTACATTGTTGCCTATTTCCTCGTCACCTTCACAATGATCGTCAGTCACCTTTATTCATTTGAGTTTTTTGCCTTTGTTTTACATCAACAGCTGGTCATTCGCAACAATTTTGTTCATCGCCGTTCTTTTAAGCTTCACCATTGCTTGCTTAGCCTTTGACCATTCTTCCACTTTTGATGCAAACTCACAGGATTGTTTATTCACATTTTCTCAGTGGCAACCACTCATAGCACATAATAAGTATGGTTTATGTGGGGGTCCTAATGTGTCTTTTTGTTTGTTACAGAAGGGAACTAATATTTCATTTTAAAATTATTTACATACACCAAGAATATCAATAAATTTTAATTTTTTCATGAAATTATTTATGCTTTCCTATGATACCATTAATTTATTATCGCATTTCACTTATTTCTCTCTTTATAATAAATAGTTCAGTACTAATTTTTAAAGTTAAAATTAAAAATTAAAAAAAAAAAGAACATACAAAAGAATGGAGAGATAGTAGAGTACTTGCCTGAAGTGATAGTAGAATATTGACTGAATCATATAACATTTCAGGTTCCATCTTTTCCCCCACAATCTCCGGAGGCAACATAGATAAGAGCAGACAACACTAAAAGAAGCGCAAAATAAATTAACAAACATGTGTATTTTGTTTGTGATGGTAAAAATAGACAACACACTCTTATATTGCTAGTTAGTTACCTTTAAAGCTTCTGCAGTGCAATCAGAAACTTGCCATCCGTGATCTCGATCAGAGAAGGTCCATGACCCTTTAGAGATATGACGATACATGCTCTTAAAGTCTCCTGAAGGGTTGTCCCTAACCTATAAATTGAATAGTAGCACACATATTGTCCAATTGTTTAATGAACACTAACTTTGCACTTGATAACAAATTTGTCATATATAGTTTAAAATAATATATTTGTACAAGTTATAGCTAATACAAGTTTTATAATGTATAAGAGTGTGCACATAATAAGGAAAATTAAATGCTTGTTTTCAATTTTTAAGTTTATATTAACTATTTTATGCCAACTATACTTTTATATTATCAGTTATTTTTATACTCATCTTAATAAAGAGAGAGTACACGGGTTAATAGATGATAAATATGAGAGTATTGTTAAAATTTAGTAAATATAATGTTCTCATAACTGAATTTAAGCACACCTGAGACTTCTTGATGAATTCATGTCCTTTTGCAAGTGTTGGACCAATATCCTCAATTAGGTTAGTGGCAAGCAAAGCTTGAATGATCAAGCTAGCATCCCATGTTTGGCTACCAAAACTCTGCATTATAAAAATATGTGCATTATATGTGATGATGTAATAATAGTGATAATATTCTAGTAATTGACTTGTATTAAAATAAGGTAATGTAATTTATACGTGCAAGGTCATTCCATCTTCTGAAACCCATAAATAATCCGGGAGCCTAGCAAGATGCTTCTTGAATGCATCTCCATTTGGATCTTCCACCCAACAAGATAGTATGCACAAAACCTAAAAGGAAGTTATTTTCATCAATTTGAATCACTTAATCCCCTATCATATAGAACTTTTTATTATTATGATAACTACCTTTTCCACACACCCAATAGTTATGTATCGACTATTTTCATCTTCATAATGGATATGTTTCATTACTGTTTGGAGAGCTTTTTCTCTAACCAGCTTGTTAAAAGGCCAATGAGTCAAAAGTGGCTCCATGAAAATGTATAAACTATCCCATATTAGATCTTGTATCAAAGGATGGGGATAGTAAAGATCTTCCTGCATTTTTTTCATAGAAAACAAATTATTTATAACAAGAGTACAAGATATACTTAAACTAAATTACAAAAGAGATCTTCTAGCAAGTAATATATGAAATGGACAATTATCGCTCTCATTCAGTGTTGCCCATGGTGTATGGCAATGAGCCAAAATCCCGCCATACCAGTCACTATGCGGTGCTATTATAGTGGATGGTGGCAGAAAAAACCACAATATTGGCAGATATTTGCCATTGCGGAGAGCCTAAAAACTGCCACGTATATCTCCCACGACAGTGCTTCTATTATAAAGAGGACATGTATATACACACATTATGGTTAATCAAAAATTAAATCCCTCACCTTTGCACATAGGTGACGTGTTTTTTTCCAGTTAACTTTTTCATAAGGTTGAGTCAAGAGTTCTTCTCTCAACATTAAGATGAGTGGTGTGATTGGACCCACAAATCTCTTCCCATACAAGTAAGACATAGGCATGTATACCAATCGGCAATAACACAACATTCTAGCTGTATTTGGTATAAGGTAAAAATGAGATAGAATAAAGACTCAATTTAATAATTTATATTCATTAAAAAAGTGAAAACATAAGTTAATTAACTAAACCTGGATGCTTAAGAAGAAATGAGGGAAGCATCCAAAACTCAGGGGGCATTGGGTTGCTTGCACACCAATCAAAGATACCAAGTATCTGTATTATTTCAATATTCAGTCAGATTAGCATATATGTATATGTATACTATTTTTTGAATAATTATATATATTGTATATCAGATAAAACATTACCGAAAGCCAAATTTTCCCCCATGAAGATACATGTGTCACACCACCATGATCATGAATCCATTTTCTTGCTCTAGCACAAGCATTTTCTTTACCTCCATTTGGACCTTCTCCAAGTATTCGCATACATACGTAATTGAGTACAGTACAAAACATGATACTGTGACCCTCCACGTGTAGTCCCCACCCTCCATCTTCATTCTTCAAAAGAAAATGCAACATGGCCAATATTAAATTTTTGCACAAATATATTTCAACCAGCATGTAGTTGAGGAAAACGACCAAGTTAACTAAGTAATATAATAAAGTGAAAAGATTGTAATTCTCTTGTTTTTTCCAACATAGTCAATACGTATTGAAACAGAACAAGTATAACTCTTAGAATTTAGGTTGAGTTTAACTCGACTCTGCAAAACTAACTTGTAAGGTGAGAGATGTCTCCCACTAAAAAATACACTTTCAAGTCATTATATTCAATGTGGGAGTCTCAACACACTAGCTCATGGCCTAGACTTGACATCTGAAGCATGGCCAATAGTAGGTGGCTCAGTAGATCTTGAATAGACTCTTATACCATTTTACACTTTTATATTGGAATTAAATCAATCTTAAAAATCAGCTTATAATGCAAGGAATGCCACTATTTTTAGACCTAATCTCTTTTTGATGTGAGACTTGGATTTTCCTAATACACCCTCTAATGCGCAACACTATTGCATTTTGTGTGTAGATTAAATTAGGGTTAGGCTTAACTCAAACTTATTAACACCGCGTATAAAGTGAGAGATATCTCTAGCTTTTAAACACATTTTCATACAATATTTCATCAAATTTGAGACTGTGATCAACATACTCTCTCAAACTTTGGACATCTGCAATGTGGCTCGAGTGGTCCATAAAGGAAGGCCAGAGACATATTTTGGATAAGTCTGATGCCATTTTATAATTTAGGTTAGGTCTAGTGTAAATGCTACAAAATCGGTTTGGCATAAGGTAGGGGATGTCTCCCATTCATATAAACACATTTTCAAGTCATATCTTATTTGAATTTGGAATTTTCAACAATACCTGATGACAATATATGTAACGAAGAATCTCTTTCCGATACTCATAGGGGAATATTGAATCAAGATGTCCTGTAACGTACATACAAAAGACCTGCAAGTGAGTGGAAAAGTTCATCTTGATTAGTGCATTAGCATATTGGAATTGAACCTTATATTTAGAATAAAACTGTATATATAAAGCAAGTAGAAGGCATTGTTTTTATTTTGACAGAATGTATGCCTATTATAAAATTGAGAATTTTTTATAAATAAATTTCATAAATAATAACATAATGTTTTCAAACTTTGATTCTATATGTTCATTTCTATTGTTGATGGTTGGATATGAAATGAAATGATAACTTGTATAGTTTGCTAATGAATATACTCCAATTTGATTTCCCTAAAGATATAACTATCATCTTTTTTGGTTCTTATATAATTAACATTTAGTGAGAACAATAATCCTTAGGTAGAAGGTAACCATAAGTATAGCCCATAAAACCTATACTGTCTGACTAATTTCTTTGAATTCAATAATCCTCTATACCTAAGAAAACGTTGTTGCCACTCTACCTACAGAATTTTACTTAACAGCCTCCCTGCAATTAGAGAGTATATGGAAGGTATAAATAACAACAGCAATTTTATACATACATAGTTTGTTAATTAATTCAATTCTTCTGTTGCAGCTCATACAAAATGCATATGTTAAGAAATAATCAGGGGATCTCGAACTACATTAGTAACAGACTCCCTTATCAATGCGTAATAGCACTTTCTTAACCTAGTTATAAAAATTACACCATAATCAACTCTTGTACATGAATCCTCTATCCATAGAGCCTGATGTAATACATATGAGCCATTTGAATAAAACAAAGTAAAACCATTGCAACATTATCTTATAATATTCAGTACAAGCTCAATAGATTGTCACAAAAAATCAGTGAATGGTTTGCATTCTCAAGAACAATCCATCAACCAGGTGTTTTGAATGCAACCAAAGTCTTTAACCTAATTTTCTTACTTCTATTTTTCATAAATTTTAAACTAATTTAAACCTTGGAAAACAGAAATTAAAAATATCACCAATTCAAATCCTAATCCTAATTTCAACAATGGCTACAACATGAATTCCTAATGCACGCTCAGACAATTTTGTAGCACATATCAAACTCAAAGAAAGTAAACATAACCTTGAGGACTCGAAATGGAGAGAAGCTAGAAGAAGCGAAACAAACGGAGTATATTAGAGACGTTATTACCTATACTAAGCCATTTTCGCGTCTAATACTTCGCACGCGGTTTAACCTATTGTCGTTAACATCATCGCGATGAAATGAATCTGTATTCACTCATTCGGCCATATCCATGGTTGTTGGATGGAGATAGAACGGTGTTTGTAGATACATAGTCTCTAATGGCAACTGTCTGCGTTAATCCAGGAACGTTGTAATTTGGGTACGGAAAGAAATGCAGTTGTATACGTTGAAAACTTAACGAGTGCACTTTAAATCTGTTTGGTTCAATGGGAAGAGAAAAGGATTTTACATATTTAATTCAAAATATGAAAGAGAAGATAAGGATTTTAAAATCAAATAAGTTTGGTTTTAGAAAAGGATGAAAGATATTTTAATAATAAATTATTTTTTATTTTTATAATTTTTTAAAAAAAATTATATTTATTATTTATAATTCGAACAATTTTTTTTACAAAATATGAGGATGGATATGACCAAACTTCAGTGCAATAAAATGAACATGTATTCATCCATTCAGTCATATCTATGATTGTTGGATGGAGTTAGAACGGTGTTTGTAGATACATGGTCTCTAAGGGTCTGTTTGATTCAAATGAGGGGGGGAGAGAAGGTGAGGGGAGGTGAGTGATTTTTTTAATTAGATAAGTGTTTGGTTCAAAAGAGAGGAGGGGAGGGGAAGGGAGAGATTTTAATTAAAAATGTGTTTGGTTCAGGAGGGAAGGGGATGGGTTTTATTAATAATTTACATTTTTATCCTTATGATCTTATATAAGTCATATGATATTAAAATGTGAAAAATTCATGCGTATTTTTGTTGGTAATAAAATTTCTAATATTGAGTGATTAAAAAAGTATTTATTTGTCACATAAAATTAAAAAATTGAGTACAATTGATTCGATTTATAACTTTCCAACATAAATTAAACTATATGCCAATAACATCGTTTAAATTGTTATGAATCATATAACAAAATAAATATATAAAATAACTTATTATTAAATATTAATTGGTTCAAAATATTTAATAAAATGAATAAACAAAAATAAATAAAATGAATGATTTACAATTTGATATAAAAGAAAATATGATAGAATACATAACAAAATTAAAAGAAAAAAACGAATATAACTAAACATAATTTTTTTTTATAAAAAAAAAGACAATGATTATAATTTATATTAAGTATAGAAATAATAAAATAATTTGAAGGTGGAGAACAATTATAATAAGTTGATGGAAACAATCGAGAAAAAGTAATAACACGAAAGAAAACGAATAGTTTTGAAATACTAAAATTAAATTAAGGATATTTTAGTAAATATAATAATTTTTAAATATCAAAACTCATATTCCCTCCTCTCCCCTCCAAATCTCTCCAATTCGGAGGGAAGCAAAAAGTGTATTTTGGAGGGATTTTGCTCCCCTCCCCTCCCCTCCTAAGATTCGAACCAAACATATTTAATTAAAATTTTCTCCTCCCCTCCCCTCCATCTACCCCGAACCAAACACACCCTAACGGCAACCGTCTATGTAGGGGTGGCAAACAGGCATGTCCGCCTCGTTTAGACTCACTCTGCAAAAGCCCGCAAAAATGGGGCGGAAGAGGGCGGTCACAGTTGAAGATGCGGCCTAAAATCTACGTCCACCCCACAAAAAAGTGAGGGCAGGGCAAGGAAAGTCTGTGAGCGCTGCATCTTTTAAGTTTAAAAATGCAAAATTTTATGTAAATGCTCGTGCCAGCAAAAGCCCGTGAAGAAAACAAGACGAGGCGGGGCGGGCGGACACATTAGAGGGTGAGGGCCTAAATCTTTGGTTCGTCCCGCACTAAAGTGCGGGCAAAACGGGCATGCCCAACAGACCGGATCCATTTTGCCACTCCTACGTCTGTGTTAATCTGAGAACCTTGTAATCTAGATACACGACGAAATACAGTCGTATACGTTGAAAACCTAACGAGTGCTCTTTAAATCCGCTTGGTTCAATGGGAGAATTTTTTATTAAAAAAAAGAAGATGGAAAAAAATTGATTTACATATTTAATTCAAAATATGAAAGGGAAGATAAGGATTTTAAAATCAAATATGTTTGGTTTAAAATAAGATGGAAGATATTTTAATATTAAATTATTTTTTATTTTTATAATTTTATCAAAAAAAATATTATATTTATTATTTATAATTCGAACAAATTTTTTTTACGAAATATGAGGATGAATATGGCCAACATCATCACAATGAAATAAATATGTATTCATCCATTCAGTCATATCCATGATTGTTGGATGGAGATAGAATGATGTTTGTAGATGCATGGTCCCTAACGACAACCGTCTGCGTTAATTCAGGAACCTTGTAATCTAGGTATGCGAGGAAATACAATTGTATACGTTGAAAACTTAACGAGTGCCCGTTAAATTCGTTTGGTTCAATGGAAGAGATTTTTATTAAAGAGAAGAAGACGGAAAAAAAATTGATTTACATATTTAATTCAAAATATGAAAGGGAAGATAAGGATTTTAAAATCAAATATATTTGGTTTAGAAAAGGATGAAAGATATTTTAATATTATATTATTTTTTATTTTTATAATTTTATCAAAAATTATTATATTTATTATTTATAATTCAAACAAATTTTTTTTACAAAATATGAGGATGGATATGGTCAACATCATCGCGATGAAATGAATATATATTCACCCATTCAGCTATATCCATGATTGTTCGATTGAGATAGAGCGGTGTTTGTAGATACATGGTCTCTAACGGCAATCGTCTGCATTAATTCGGGAACCTTGTAATTTGCGTACGCAACCAAATGCAGTTGTATATGTTGAAAAGCTAACGAGTGCCCTTTAAATCCGTTATGTTCAATGGGAGAGATTTTTATTAAAGAGAAGAAGATGGGGGAGAATTCGATTTACATATTTAATTCAAAATATGAAAGGGAAGATAAGGACTATAAAATCAAATATATTTGGTTTAGAAAATGATGGAAGATATTTTAATATTAAATTATTTCTTATTTTTATGATTTTATCAAAAAATTATTATATTTATTATTTATAATTCGAACAAATTACTTTTACGAAATATAAGGATGGATATAGTCAAACAATAAGAAAAAGGATTTTGAAACAAAATAGGAAATTTGTTTATCTCACATTATTTGTAGAATTTAAGTGTATGATAAACCAAATCTGATAGTTCCTTTTGACAAGCATCATTGGCTTTGTATAAAAATAGAAATAATCTTCTTCAGAAATTGAACATCAAAACTCCCTAATCGTCTATGGACCAAGGCAAGCCTATAGTGTAGAGGCAACCCAACCAAAATCGATGTAGAACCTCTTGTGAGACCAGACCTCATTGAGTTTCGCTCTAGTAGTTGAGGACACTTAGTGAACAATCCATCTACTTGAGGCACTTTAAGCTCAAGACTAAACTACAAACTTTCCCTATCATTGGGTTGTGGTTAACACAAAACATTTTCCTCGATAACCCGATTAGATAAATCTCAAATTTCCACATGCCTCTAAGTAGACATGTCATGAGTAACCGAAATGATAGAGGTTCCCAAGGATATGTATAACCCGATGAGTCCTTCTCATTTGTTGCATTGCTTTCTTACATTTTATTTCATTTGTAGGACAATAATAGACTGGTTACAAACGGAATAACCAAAGGAATTTCAAGAAGGAGGGGATTCCCTATCTCACTCACCAAAGATAACCTTCGTGACCTCTTTCGGTTTGATATCTATTAACATGCGCATCTCAGTGGATCACTTTAGTTTTTTTTATGCCGCATCACGAAGGACAACGCCCTCAGCATAACCCAGATCCTTAA